ATAGTTATTACGTGGATGGGAGACCACCGAAGAGGAGGAGGAGGAGGAGGAGGAGATTGGATTTATACCCCGCCCTTCACTTGGTGTCTCAGAGCGGCTGACAAACTCCTTTCCCTTCCCCTCCCCACCACAGACACCCTGTGAGCAATGCTCCCTCTAAGCTGTGGAGTCTCCTAAGCAAAAAGTCTACTTTGTGAGCTACTGGCATTAAAGTTGTGAGCGAGCGATTTGGCTACTACATAAATTAGTTTGCTCTGGAGCCCTCCTTCCTGAGCTGAGACAGAAATGTGTGAGGCGGAGGCTAAAAAACTGTGAGCTAGCTCACACTCACTCAGTTTAGTGGGAATACTGCCTGTGAGGCAGGCGGAGCTGAGAGAGCTCTGACAGAAACCGCTAAAAATCTTTTCAAGAACAGCAGAAAATGATAAACTGACTCTAGAAATGAGATTAAGTAAAGAGTGGACATTTCAAAAAACATGGACAAAGTTTTATGATTGGTATAATGCAAATGTAATAGAAGACTAGGCAAGAATAGCGCAATGGACTTGAGAACACAGAAGATAGAAGAATGGAAAGTATTTGATATAGAGTTTTTATTAATTAAATAATTGCATATAAGCATATAACATAACTGTACTCTTGGTATATATGTTATGTGTAGTAGAGTGTCTGTTTGTAGTGTGCAGATTTGTTTGTTGTAGATTAAAAAAAATTAATAAAAGTGTACCTGTGGGTACTTTAAAAGAAAAGAAAAGAAAAAGAGGTGCAGAATCTCATTAGCATAATTTATTAGCATAACTTATTTTGCATATGCCACACCCCGGTTCTCCCAAATTAGAGTCCGCGCACTTCTGCGCCCTTAACCACTACTCACCAAACTGGAGTTGCTATGCAGAGGAAGGCAATCATAAATTGCCTCGGCTTCTCTCTCCCATCCAAATACTGACCAGGGCCGACCCTGCTTAGGCTCTGAGATCTGATAGCCTAGCGTGGGCCATCCAGGTCAAAGCAAGAGACGGCCAGAGGTGGTTTGCCATTGCCTGCCTCTACGTAGCGACACTCGATTTTCTTGGTGGCCGTCTCCCTTCCAAGTTCTAACCGGGGCCGACCCTGCTTAGCTTCTGAGGTCTGATGAGATTGTGCTAGCCGGGGCCATCCAGGTCAAAGAGCAATAGCAGTAGGCAGGGCTCTTTTTGTACAAAAAGCCCAGCAGGAACTCATTAGCATAATAGGCCACACTCAACAGCAGAAACTCTGTAGCATATTAAGCCACACCCCTGACATCACAGCTCATTAGCATATTAGACCACACCCCCATGTTACCACACTCACCTTTTGCTTCTTATTCTGTTTACTCTGTTGTCAAAACCCAGGGCTTTTTTGTAGCAGGAACTTCTTTGCATGTTAGGCCACACACCCCTAATGTAGCCAATCCTAATGAGTTTCTGCTGTCGGGTGTGGCCTATTATGCTAATGAGTTCCTGCCGGGCGTGGCCAACTCAGGAGCCAGCCGGAACTCCGTTCCTGTGCGTTCCTGCCCAAAAATAGCCCTGGCAGTAGGAAAAGCAGGGTTTTCAGTGGCGGCTCCATACTGGTGGAATGAGCTCCCGGCAGGGCCCTGCGGGACCTTTTAGGGTTCCACAGGGCCTGTAAGACGGAGCTCTTCCACCAAGCTTTCAACTAGGAGCCGCCCCCACTATCACTACCAACTCTCAGCTTCGATGGCTGGCTTGTGTGAAGAACATCGAGAAATTGAAAAACTTACAAAAAGTACGCCGTCTTGTATAATTAGCGAAACATTGACAGCAGTTGTTATTACTGTTGCTGATATCGGATTGTTTTAGGACGATTTTATCGGATTTTAATCGCTATCTATATATCGTGTAAAATGTTTTAATGAATGTAAGCCACCCTGAGCCTGCGTTAGTGGGGAGGGCGGGGTATGTTGAATAATAAATAAATAAATAAAATCCCCTTGATATTCCTTTCCCCCCATTTTTTACGCCAGGTAAACCCTAACAGTATCGCTGCCAAGGACGGTCGAATCCGGGAAGGCGATCGTATCGTCCAGGTGAGTTGGGGGAACGGGGGGAATCGACGCGTGCGTGTGTGCGGAGGACGAATGCTTCACGTCTGTATTTAAACCTCCCTTTTCCCTCCCTTTCCTTCACTTGTAGATTAATGGGATGGAGGTGCAGAATCGCGAGGAGGCCGTTGCAATTCTCACCCAGGAGGAGCGGACAAACATCTCTCTGCTGCTGGCTAGACCCGAGACTGAGGTGAAAGGCCTCTAGATGCTTGCCGTGGCTGATCCGGAAGCACGGGGCGGACTGCGTGTTGGATCTGGAAAGGCAGTCCAGGGGAAGGGCGTCCCAAATGCAGACTTCTCCGATGGCCGCCACCCCTCCTTTGCCGTAATAGGAGGGTTCCTTTGAGGATCTGCTGCTGTTGTAAAGCTTTGTAGCATTTTCTTATTTAGGACAGGGAAGGTCCTTTAATGGAGGGGCCGGATGCCCCCCAGCTAACGTATATAGAAGTATGAGATGATACGGGGGGTGGGGGGTGAGAGGGAATCCAGCCGTCAGCTTGGCCAGCGAGAACATCCTTCATCACATTAAGTTGGTCGTCCCTGACTTAGAACAAAGGAGGAGAAAGTTTTTAATCAAAGTCTGCCCGTGCTAACCGGAACACAAACAGTTTGGGATTCCTCAGAGGGACATAGTTTCAAAGGGTAGTTGTGCTATGTGAGGTGCTTGCTTATAGGGGAAATTGTTTTTCCTTTAAACACTCTCTGAGTGCATAAACTTGGTAGTTTTCCGCTGCCACCAGGAATTAAAAATTCCAGTTCTCTCTCTTTTGGTAGTATGACCTAGGGTCTGGGCACTTCTGAGGATTATGTGGCCCTGAGGAAGTACTGTACTGATTTCTGGGATAAGTTTAAACAAAAATTGATTTATTTAATAAAGAACAAAATAGGTTTCTGGTTATTTTGAACAGTTGCTGAAGAAAGGAACTTGTAAATATAACTGGCAAAGCTTGGTGCTACACTCTCAACCTCCAAACTCCACTCTGACAGGCTTATACACTCAGTATACTCTCTCTCTCTCTTATATAGCCACACAGGCTAGTCTCTTTGTTTTATTCACACTGAATAGAATCAACTCGCTTAGTCACACAGACTAAACTGTTGGTCTTATTCACACAGGATTAGACTCAAAATTCCATAGTCACACAGACTATGCTCACTCTTCAAACTTTACATACAGAATCACATCATAGACACACACACACAGAGAGAATCCTCTGACACCCCTCCTCCCACACTCTCAGTCATCAGCCAATCAAAATATACTCATCTCCCTCTATCACTCTTCTTTCAGAACTGCAGTCAAAGTAAACATTTAAAGGAACACACACCCCCAAACATGAAATTATTAGAGGCTACTTTGCACGAGAACAGCTGGATTCGAGTTCAGAAGCGCCTTAGAGACCAACAAGACTTTCAGGGTACAAGCTTTAGAGAGTCAAAGCTCCCTTTGTCAGATGTGACAGAGGAGCTGCGGTCAGACATGCCTTTAGATCCAGCTTAGCTGCGAATGCCTGACAGATCTAAAGGGCACGCTCAGACAGCAACATCTGGGAAACGTCCCGCAGTCATCGGCACCCCATGCTGCCCCGCCACAGAAACGGAGTTAAAAGACACCGGGGGAAGTCGGTCTTAACTGGCCACGGATGGACTTCCCACTGTCTGATCGAGCAAGCACACTCTCAAGCCGCCGGGATGGTCTGCCCATTCCATCCTGACTTGGCACCATTTATTTATTTATTTTTTGCTCACTTAGTGGTATGCGCATAACCACATAATCAGTCCATGAAGAACTCCATGGAGAACTCTCCGCATGGGGGTTCGATTCCTCGTTTATGCGCACGTGCACAAAAAGATTTTTAAAAACCCACCCCACGCATCCGAATGTGCCGTCTGATTGCGCAGTGATGGGCAGTGTTCCCTCTAAGCTGAGTCAGTGTGAGCTAGCTCACAGTTTTTTAGCCTTCAGCTCACAGCTTTTTGCCTTAGCTCAGGAAGGAGCGCCTCAAAGCAAACTAATTTGTGCAGCAACCAAATGCCTCGCTCACAACTTTAATGCCAGGAGCTCACAAAGTAGAATTTGTGCTCACAAGACTCCACAGCTTAGAGGGAACATTGATGATGGGCTGCGATTATACTGGGATGCTTGTGCAGAGTTTGCAATGGATCTTTGCTTCACTGGAGAGGAGGCATTTCTTTCTTCCCTTATTTCTAAGGGAAGGGTACACAGGAAAATCTACAAAATAACAAAGACCTAAGGCTACATCTCTACAGCTACAAAATAGACCGACCACACGGTCTCACAACAAGGACCGTAATGGAGATTCTTCTTCTTCTTGACCCCTAGAAGGAAATCACCTGAATGCATTAACCAATGATTGTGAGTAAACAGACTTAGATTTCATGGGCTTTGTTTTCATTGGCTCTGAGCCAGGTTTCCCTTCCAGGTCAGTCTAAACAACAGCACACAAGGTAAACAGATTTACCCTATCATGACTGAATTAGACCTTGCAACACGCACATATTTCCAGCAGTTGGATCGAGCAACTCCGTTTCAAATGCCAACGGATGAAATAGTAGCACCTCCCGACCACGCCGAATGGCACTTGTAACCACAGCCAGGGAATGTTGACTCTCAAAGTTATACCCCAAAAACCTTGTTGGTCTCTAAAGTGCTGCTGGACTCAGAAGAGAGGAATATTGTTGTATAGATCCCCCCATGACAAAGTCGTAAAGATATTATTTAGGAGTTGGGTTGGGCTAAGCGGGAGGAAATCTCTAGTCTTTCCTGTGCTTAACATTTGATCGAGGAAGACACTATGACGGCCACGTGGCAGCAAAAAGTAGCCACAGAGGTAGATGCTTGGGCTCCTTGAAGGCAGTGAGGAAAGAGCCTGAGTCTGACTCCTGTTTGCCACGTTTCTTGTAATTTTCCCAGTTGTCCAAGCGTTGGAAGGATAGTGACCGGGAGGATTTCCTAGATGACTTTGGCTCTGACCATGAAGCAGGAACAAGACCCCATCGGCTCCTTTCTCCACCAGACCAGCAGGTGTGTGATCTAGAGGGGGAAAGTGGAGACAAGCCACACTTACTGTTCTTCAGGCCTCCGTAAGAACATAAGAAAAGTCCTGCTGGATCATACCAGTGGTCCATCCAGAGCAGCATCCTGTCTCACACAGGGGCCAGGTTCTAGTCCAGCCTCCCGTCTCACACAGGGGCCATCCAGTTCCTCCGGAGGGCCAACAACAGGGCAGAGAGGCCGAGGCCTTCCCCTGATAAGGACACCAGAAGAGCCCTGCTGAGTCAGACCAGTGAGGGTCCCTCTAGGCCAGCCTCCCGTCTCACACAGGGGCCAGCCAGTCCCTCTGGAGGGCCAGCAACAGGGCAGAGAGGCCGAGGCCTTCCCCTGAGAAGAGCACCAGAAGAGCCCTGCTGGGTCAGACCAGTGAAGGTCCCTCTAGTCCAGCCTACCGTCTCACACGGGCCAGCCAGTCCCTCTGGAGGGCCAGGAACAGGGCAGAGAGGCCGAGGCCTTCCCCTGAGAAGAACACCAGAAGAGCCCTGCTGGGTCAGACCAGGGAGGGTCTTTCTAGTCCAGCCTCCCATCTCACACAGGGGCCAGCCAGTTCCTCTGGAGGGCCAACAACAGGCAGAGAGACTGAGCCCTTCTCCTGATGTTGCCTCCTGACTCTTTGATTCAGAGGTTTAGTGCTTCTGAATGTGGAGGTGCCCCTCAGTCACCATGGTAGTAGCCATTCATAGACAGATCCTCCATGGATCTATCAAATCCCCTTTGAAAGATATTTATTCCTATGGCCATCACTACATCCTCTGGCAGCGAATTCCACATTGTAATCACACTCTGTGTACGGTAGTATTTAAGAACATAATAACATAAGGGACGCCAATGTTGGATCAGGCCAAGGGCCCATCCAGTCCAACACTCTGTGTCACACAGTGGCCAAAAATACCAGGTGCCCTCAGGAGGTCCACCCATGGGGCCAGGACACTAGAAGCCCTCCCACTGTTCCCCCCCCCCCAAGCACCAAGCTGACAGAGCATCCCTTGCCCCAGACTGAGAGTTCCTCTCTGCACCTTGTGGCTAAGAGCCACTGATGGACCTCTGCTCCAGATGCTTATCCAATTCCCTCTTGAAGCCATCCATGCCTGTAGCTGCCTCTGTGGCAGTGAATTCCAAGTGTTCATCACTCTTTGGGTGAAGAAGGACTTCCTTTTATCCGTTCTAACCCAACCGCTCAGCAATTTCATGGAGTGCCCACAAGTTCTTGTGAGAAAGGGAGAAAAGTACCTCTTTCTCTACCTGCTCTTTCCCATGCATAATCTTATAAACCTCAATCATGTCACCCCTCAGTCGTCGTTTCTCCAAGCTAAAGAGCCCTAAGCGCCTTAACCTTTCCTCATAGGGAAAGTGTTCCAACCCTTTGATCATTCGAGTTGCCCTTTTCTGCACTTTTCCCAAAGCTATAATATCCTTTTTAAGGTGTGGTGACCAGAACTTCCTTTTGTATTTCCTTTTGTCCGTCCTGATTAACTATTTGTATTATTATTGCAGTATTGAGCCTTATTGTACCATCTATGCTTGACCACTGAAGACGTTTGGTTAGGCCAAAACACGTCAGATCACATTAGGTTTCATGTGTGTACATTGTACAATTTCATCTTGTACTGAGGCAATAGTTGGGCCCATAACTTTTTAAAAATTATCTTGTAATCAAGTACATGTATTTTTGATGATTTTGCACTATTTGTATGTTTCACATTTATGGTTTTTAGGAATTGTCTGTCAGATTTGTATTTGTATAAACTTCCTAGTTCTTAGTTCAATTATTCCGGTTAAGTTTTTTGTTCCCTCCTCCAGTTTGGTGCAGTGGTGAGGAGTGCGGACTCTAATCTGGGAGAACTGGGTTTGATTCCCCGCTCCTCCGCATGCAGCTGCTGGTATGACCTTGGGTCAGTCACAAGTTCCCTCAGAGCTGTTCTCTCAAGAGCAGTCCTCGGGAGAGCTCTCTCAGCCCCACCTACCTCCCAGGGTGTCTTTTGTGGGGAGGGGAAGGGAAAGGAGTTTGTAAGCCGCTCTGAGACTCCGAGTGAAGGGCGGGGTATAAATCCAATCTCCTCCTCCTCCTTTTTCTTCTTCCTCTTCTTTCTGAGAGGGTAAGAGGGCCAAAGCTTCTATAGCTCTTCGCTCTGGGGAAGCGAAGTCAAAAAAGCCTTTGGTGGTGTTTTGGCTCCCACAGGAGTCCGCCAGTTGGAGTTACCCCAACCTACCGAAGACAGCAAAAACACTGGTCCAAAGAATTATATTCCTGCTTCTCTCTCTCTTTCGGAGCTGCAGTGGCCCAAGTGGTTAAGACACTGAACTGCAGGCTGTGGAAGGTCAGTAGTTCAGTAGTTTGAGACCCGAGTGCGCCGCATGATGGAGTGAGCTCCCGTCTCTAGTTCCAGCTCCTGCCAACCTAGCAGTTCGAAAGCAAGAAATTGCAAGTAGAGAAATAGGTACCACTTCATTGGGAAGGTAACAGCGTTCCGTGCGCCTTGGTGTTTAGTCACGCCAGCCACATGACCATGGAAATGTCTTCAGACAGCGCTGGCTCTTCGGCTTTGAAACGGAGATGAGCACCGCAACCCTAGAGTCGGATTCGACTGGCTTTCGAGCAAGGGAACCTTTACCTTTTACCTTTCTCTTAACGGTGCCCTGTCTCTTCTCTCCACAGAGTGAACCTCTCCAGGAAAAGCCTGCCGGGGATCCCGCCACCCCCCTGACCAACAGCCAGGAGCTGGACAGTGGCGTCGGGCGCACCGATGAGAGCACCCGCAACGAAGAGAGCTCCGAACATGACCTCCTTGGAGACGAAGCCCCCAGTGCCGCCAACACCCCGGGGAGCCTGCGCAAATTTGGCCCCAGCCTGCAGCCCCGCGACTTCCACTACAGCATGGACTCACTGCTGGCCGGGGAGCCGCCGAGCGCCGTGGGCACTGACATGATGCCGGGGCTGACTGACGAAGAGTACGAGCGCTACCGCGAGCTGCTAGAGCTGAAATGCCACCTGGAGAATGGCAACGACCCGGGCTTGGTGAGCTCGGCGCTGGACGTCAACCGCAACGAAGTCGCCCTTCTGGAGGAAGAACTCCGCCACCTGGAGTTCAAGTGCCGCAACATCCTGCGGGCCCAGAAGATGCAGCAGCTGCGCGAGCGGTGCATGAAGGCGTGGTTGCTGGAGGAGGAAGGGTTGTACGCCCTGGAAGGAGAACCGAAGAAACACGAGTTGTCTGATATCACGGAGCTGCCGGAACGCTCGGACAAGGACAGCACCAGTGCCTACAACACCGGGGAGAGTTGCCGCAGCACCCCCTTGTTGGAAAGCCCCTTGCGCCGCTTGGCCGAGCACCCCAACCTTAATCGGACTGCCCCGCCTTCGCCTCCACAGCCCAAATTCCGCCGGGAGGAACGGGTGCGGCGCAGCCCCAAAGCGGGTGGAGAAGGGAGCCCCTATCTGACCCGGCGGCAGCGGGAAGAGCCTCCTCCTCCTCCCATCAGCCCGATGAGCCTAGCTAGCATATGCAAGGACTCTCTCGGGGGCAAAGGGGAGCCCCGCATGGAATGGAAAGTGAAGGTCCGCAGCGACGGCACCCGCTACGTGGCCAAGAGGCCAGTGAGGGACCGGCTGCTGAAAGCCCGGGCCATGAAGATCCGCGAGGAACGCAGCGGCATGACGACGGACGACGACGCCGTCAGCGAGATGAAGATGGGGCGCTACTGGAGCAAGGAGGAGCGCAAGCAGCACCTGATCCGCGCCCGCGAGCAGCGAAAGCGCCGCGAGTTCATGATGCAGAGCCGCCTGGAGTGCCTGCGGGAGCGGGAAGGCAGCGAGGCCCGCGGGGTCTCCGGGGAGGTCAACATCTTGGCCCTGAGCCACCGCAAGACCATGAAGAAGCGGAGTCGCCGGATCTTGGATAACTGGATCACCATCCAGGAGATGCTGGCCCACGGCACCCGCTCCGCAGACGGACGCCGGGTTTATAACCCCCTCCTCTCCGTCACCACCGTCTGAGTCCATGGAGACGGATGTCTGAGGACGCTGCCACGCTCCTTTCCCCTCTGGGTGTGTCAGAGAGCCGGCCTCCTTTTCCGTGACCGGGGAAACGGCTCTTCGGACACACCGGGGAAGCGTTCCATGTTGCCCTCTGAGCTCCGCGGGGCTCAGGGAAGGCCTGACTCTCTGAACCAAATTTCGGGACAGTTAAGCCCAGCATCCCTTCCTGCCTTAAGAGCCAGGGGGGCGAGAGGGGCCCACTCCAGAGTCTGCACCCATCCAGAACTTTCTGTGGAGAGAGGCCCATTATCCTGCTGTGTACACCTTCTGCCTTGCGAGGGAGTCCCAGGGCAACTCCGTTACCCTCTCAGACGGAAAGCTCCTTCCAGCTTGGCCCCTGCCGATCGTACTCCGTCCGAAGCACAAGAAATCCGCTGTGGTCGACGCACAGTGTGCAGAGCACAAGGGACGTGAGGGGCTCGCCTGCCCTATAGGCTGACAGCACCAATGAAGAACCCCCCCCCCAACAATAACTGGGATGTTGTGACATCTTTCTCTCTTCTTTTCCTCTCTCTCGCTCTCTCTTTTTCCTCTTCTCTTTCGTGATTGTGGCTCTCAGTTTCCTTTTTTTCATTTCTCTATTTAAAACCCGGAGCCTTGGGCCCTGGCGGCTCACCCCGCAAGCGACTGAAGAGTCCCCCCCGTCCTGCATTTTCTACCATCCCATCGCCTCCCTCTGTCCTAGAGGGAGGAACGCCGGCTTAGCATTGGGAGGCTGTGGAGCAGATAAGCTTGCGGTAAACCCGGCGCCCGTGGCTGAACTTGCATTGTTACAATAAAAACTGTTGTTTCTACTCATTGCAGGAAAAAAAAAGCAGCAACCATAAGTTTTTGCGGGGTTTTATTTCGAAAGACGAATGTTAGAGGACAGGGACTTCCAACACTGTTGACTCTGCAGGCCCTTTCGGAGTCTTGAGAACGGGTAATGGGTGTTACGGTAGGAAGAGGGAAATGGTGCCTTTCCTTGCTGGGAAACTTCCTTCAACCGAGGGTTCCCTAGAAAGTACCCTGGTAACCAATTGCTACTGCCTAAGACCTCCTGAGCAAAGTCTAGGAGAAGATCCACAGCCGAAACAGATGAATCAAAAGAACGAGAAGACTGTGAAAAATGACGCTAATAAAGATAATAAGGGTCGTTATGTATTGTTTTTCACAAGTTCTATATAATGCCGATATATAACATTCACAAATGCCACACTTATTAGTACAAAAATCTTATTATAAATTCACAAGTTTACAAATTCTCAGATTCTTAAGTCCACACATCCAAAGCCTAATGAAGATTCCGGATAAATCTTCCGTTTCAGTTGTTTTCCTCAGAGATGGACAGATATTATCTCCAATACTGGATTATGAATGTTGATATCCAAAATTTCCAGTAATGATTTCAAATGCCATCAAGTTTCAGATCACAGAAAATGAAGAAACGTGAATTTAAAAATGGGCTGGTAGGTACAAACTATCATTTCAAAGTTTATAATAAGATTTTTGAACTAATAAGTGTGGCATTTGTGAATGTTGTTGTCAAGGCTCAGGTGGGGTGTCACCTGACGCTGCCACCACTCTGGTTTTAGGATCCCTTGAGAAGGCCCAGAGCACCCTCCCAAGACCTTCAGACCTCCCTTGTTTGGCCGAATAATAGGCGTGAGGATCAGGCAGAGTAAACAACAAAGAAAAATTACTGGCAAAATGTCAGGTTCTACAATGCCAAGACCACGGCCTCACAACCCGGAAAATCTACAGCAGAAGGTTTATTTTTACAGGAGGTCAACCCAATATGGGGAAACAAACAAGGTGCAAGAACAAAATCAGTAAGGGGGTGAAACGAAAAGAAGCCAAATGCCCTAACGCGTCTAAACTTACCGTCCCTAGCTCACTGTCTCAAGTGGGCCTCAGTCTGCTCCCCCTTCCTCTCAGGATAATAATAATAATAATAATAATAATAATAATAATAAAAAGAAAAAATTCAGCTTATATCCCGCTCGAACCCCTCCCACGGGGTCTCTGAGTGGCTTACATGGTTTGTTATCCCTAACTATGGGCACATACATCATTGGGGCAGGATTGCCTACCAGCACCCAGTGGGATTCAGTTGGTATTTCCTCAGCTTGCCTCGGCTCGGCTCCCGGCCAAGGATGAGGGTCTCTCCCCTGCAGCGGCCTTCCTCCTGGCCCTGCCCTCTTGGAAGGAAGAAAGAACAGCTCTTCTTCTGTACCAGCTCTTTTGTTCTAAGTCCCCTTTCTCTGTGATTGGCTAAAATTGGCACCAAAACCTCTCAGGAGCTTCTGGGAGCTGTAGGCCTGGCCTCCTCCCACTGCTACTCAGGCTCCCTGGGCCTGCTAGGCCTTTGCTTGCACAGCCCAGATCATGACGTATATTGGCATTATATAGAACTCGTGAAAAACAATATAATAGTACGTCTTGAGAGCATCTAGACTGACCTGCTGAGAAGGTAGTCTTCCAGCTCAGTACTGACGCAATAACAATATAACTTATAACCAACTTGGTAGCACCTGTGCAGTGTAGCCCGCGGGGAAGAGATTAAGAGAAATATCCCAGAGAGATAGATTGTACTCAGTGAAGCCACAAAATATCTTGATAGGAAGGATTGTTGTAAAAGAGAGAAGAAGAAGAAACAAAGGAAGAGGGTGGTTGTGGTGGAAAGGAGGCAAAACAAAATACAGGGGAAAGCACACAAAACAACAGAACAGAGGCATTCAAATTAAAAGCAATGCAGGCCCTGTTCACACGGTGCATTTGCCACACTAAAGATACGGATGATAGGCGGATTTTCCAGGCGCAATCACACCACATCTGGGAAGCGTAGTGCACCCGTGGCTAACCCGTGGCTTTTTGCCGAAGATACGGAGGAAAACACTAGTACATATGATGTGCTACATACAATGTGCTAGTTTCCAGAAAAGCGTGGCAAGGGTGTCTGATCGCGTTTCCGCTGGAATCCCATGGCATCTGGCGCCCGCCCATGTCCCGTTGCAAACCGGATGTGTTTGTTTTTTTAAGTCTCCACAGGATGCGCACAAACGCCCACCGGCACATGCGCACACTGTGGTGAGGGAGGAAAATTCCCATTTGCCACGGAAGCGGCGCCTAGCGATTGCCAGTGTGATCGTGCCATGCCGCTTCTTTGCCGCGCTGCAGGATAGCCATGTGATCGGCACCTAACGGCATAGCCACGGGACCTCCACGGGACATGTGATCGGGCTGCTGCGCGTTACTTTGCTCCGGGGCAAACAGCCGGGCTCCCACCCACCACCCGCATTTTCCGGCCCGTGTGACCGGGACTGCAGTTGAACTAAATAAGCTAAACACACATTACCTATTATGTAGCAGGTTCCTCAGACCATGTGCAGAGCTCCTTGTGGTAACAAGACATTGAAAGGGTCATTAACTCCTACCCAACCTATGAACCCAGTTTCCACTCAAGACTGAAAACTGAAATGAAGGAGAGATCCCAGATATTTATGCTGTGGAATTAGACCTGACTCAGCCTCCTTTCTAGGAATGATGAGCTGATTTTTGCCGGCTTCTCACGGATCCCCACCTCTGATGTCAGGATGCGGTATAGTCCCATTTCCATCAAGCACCTGGAAATGGCTGTGGACTTCCATGACAAATAGATGGTCTGGTCCAAACCGGATGGTCCTTTGTCCAAAAGTTGTGCAGTGGGGATCCTGCAGGGACTTGCAGTGGGCACCTCACTTTCCCCTGTATCCCCAATCCACACACTATCTTGTTTCCCCCCCTGCTGGCAGCCTCCATAGCCTCACCTCTCCCTGCTTCCTGTTCTCCTTTGCACTTATCAACCAACCAGCCTTTTATCTGAAGTGGTTAAGTGCGCAGACTCTAATTTGGGAGAACCGGGTTTGATTCCCCACTCCTCCACTTGCACCTGAGCCACTGGCATTAAAGTTGTGAGGGATAGATTTGGCTGCTGCATAAATTAGTTTGCTCTAGAGTCAGCCTTCCTGAGCTGAGACAGAAATGTGTGAGCTGGAGGCTAAAAAACTGTGAGCTAGCTCACACTAACTCATCTTAGAGGGAACACTGCCTGTGAGGTAGGTGGGGCTGAGAGAGCTCTTGACAGAAACTGCTTTTTTTCAAGGACAGCTCTTATCAGAACTACAGCTTGCCCAAGGCCATCCAGCCAGGTGCAACTGGAGAAGTGGGGAATCAAACCCGGTTCTCCTAGAGTCCACGCACTTAACCATGACACCAAACTGGCTGTAAGATGCAGGCCACCCACCTTTTTCTTCCTTAGCTACGGCAGAATAGAATGGCATTCCAGAGGGAATAACCGTAAAAGCCCGCCCACATTTTGGCAGCAAGCAGATCAGTATAAATGCAGGTGAAACACGTCCGAGGTCAGAGGCTTGCCGGCAAAACCGGGCCGGCCATGAAAATAGCCGAAAGCGGTGATCGAGCACTACCTGGATACCTTCCGTTTGCTCAATACAGGAAGCGGCACGGATCCAGGGAACCGCCACTAAGAAACACGTCCTTTGCAGGATTGCAGCTGAACATTCAAGCCAGTGAGCCGTCCTCCCCCCAAGCCCCTTCCCGATTGGCTTCCCCAACTTTAATCCAACATTAATGCGACTTCAGAGCCGCAGTGTAATCCCCCCCGCACTGCGCCGGCTCACACCCGGAGCTGCTGTTCTTAGGCGGATAAGGAGCCGTGGCATGAATACCGCTGCACCCAGGGACGGGAATGCTTAACAGGATTAAGGGAGGGGGAATCAGGCCCAAAGCTCACGGGTGGGAAAGCGGATGCCGGCGCGGCAGATCCCCAACACCTCCGGTTGGAGCAGCTCTTCCGGGCAAGGAGGGGGGTGCTATAGATACGGGCTCAGCCCAAGAATTCCTTTCATTTCCATGGTAGTGCTCGCTATTTGGTTTCTCCCCCAGTCACACCATGAACCTGCTTCATACTGAATCAG